ATATGTAGAAGAATGAGAGGAGGATGAGATCGCAGTTGAACGCCATATTGTTCCGTCGACAAATATTCGGGCGAGAGAGAGAGAGAGTTCTCATCTCTCTCGGGGCGAGAGAAGCCGGCGAAAAATTCATCGTTCACCGTGGAACGATGTTTACATCCCCTTGAAGCGTGAATCGCGTCTATACGAGAGATCGCATTTGCCTGACAAAGGGACCAATAATCGATCCCTTCCCCCCTCTCCTTCCCCCCTCCCTCTCCATTTTTCTCGTCGCCCCGTGAACCGGAAACGGAGATTCGGCCACGTCTCGACTCCGGAACCGTTCGAAGTCGCGATAAGAGGCCGATTTCCCGGAGGATGTCCGAGGGCAAGGTTTTTCGTTTTTCTTATCTCTTTGGTCCGGGCTGGGATTCGAATAATTTGTCCATTCCGATTCATTGAAAAAAATTTTTTTTTTTTTTTTCGTGTATATTTATCGTATCGAGGAGGGCTTTCTTTTTTATAGCAGTTTGTTAGGAAAACAAAAAAATCTTTGATTTCATTGCATATCCTATTGCATGAAAATTAATCGAGACAATTATCCTTGCATGATATACGAGAAGTAATAAGTTGATAAAGCGTTTCATTTACGAGAACGAGAGAATATTCTTTTGTGAAACTAACCTTGAGATTTTCATATATATAAACTAATTTTTTAATTTATTCTGTAAAGAAGTTTAAATTTTTATTACGAATCTTAAAAAATTAAGCTTTGAAAATAGCGCGCATAATAGATAGAATTCGAACGACCAATCAGCTTTCGTTTTCGTCGTGTCTTCGTTCGAACTCTATTCGATCATATCAATTTCCAGGTACAATTAATTTTTAAGTAATTCTAAAAAAAAAAGAGAAAATATTTAAAAAAATGTATAATTATGAACCAAATATTCGCTGTTTTGTTATTTTTTAATTTTTTATTACAAGTTTCAACGAATAAAACTACGAATAAAAGTTCGAAAATGGCGCGGCTATACAGAGTTCGAACGACCAATCAGCTATTATCTTTGTCGCGTCTTCGTTCGAATTCGATTCGACGATGCTCTTTCCGAATGGAGCGCGTGCACGGTAAACATCGGTGCTGTTTGTATTCCTTTGGGACTCGTACGGGATGGGACGACGACGATTCGTGGATATCCCTCGTTCTCGACAGACGAAAACAAAGCCGGTTAAACGTGTCGCTAATCAGTTTGTGATCGTTTGTGCACGCAGGATGAGTTCCATCCATTCATTGAGGCCCTTCTACCATTCGTGAAGTCTTTCTCGTACACGTGGTTCAACCTACAAGCCGCCAAGAGGCGTTACTACAAGAAGCACGAAAAACGGATGAGTCTCGAAGAGGAACGTCAGTGTAAGGAGGAGCTTCAGGTGAGTGATTTTTTTACTTTTCGTTATTTGTTTTATCGTGGTACAGCGTTCGCGAAGTCGTGAGTTGACGCCACGCGTCAGTAGATCGTCGATATATTTTTCAGTGAATAGAATTTTACATTTCTAACCCTATTATCTTCGAATCGATATCGAATTTTAGATTTTTCATCCTGATAATTTTCTAATATCGAATTTTATATTTCTATGGATATAATCTTCGAATCGATATCGAATTTTAGATTTCTAACCTCAATAACCTCGTATCGAATTCTTAATTTCTAACGATAAATTTGTCAGTATCGAGATGACGTCGAATTTCTGTCTAATTTCATTTAATTTTCGGTTTTTGATATTACGTTGCTACGTAATTATTGCGCATTACTTCAATGCTTATTTTCTAATGGTATAGGCTTGTGAATTAGGCGTGGTATTGCTGGCGGTGATTCGTCATGTTTACGTTTAGAATGTTTTGATTACGTGCTTTTAGAATTCGTTATCATTTCTTTATTCTTCATTAAAATCCGTGTTCGTAATAAATAAATAAGATACTCGATCGTTCAGTGATATTTACGGTACTTTTTATCGTGGACATAGAATAAATTCTATTTAGTCATTACATTTGCTCAACGAAAGCTACAAGTTCGTTAAAAGTTATTAGAAGGAACACGTGAGATGGCTCTGCTAAATCATCAAGGATTTGTTACCAACCTGACAATTTGAAACGTCAAATTAAGAGCGGATATTTAGAAGCGTTTAAACTGTCTCGTTCCCGGTTTACGATGAAAATTCGGCCGTTTAAAACGTGCCAGTCGTCGGCGAAAACGGTACACAGAGGTGCACACGCGATAACGAATCGATATACCGGCTGGAAATGTGATAAAAGTTCTGGGCGGGATTTTCATCGGCGAATGTCAGCGTACGTTTGCACGAAACCGTCATAGGCACGGAGGTGTGCTGCTAATTTCATGGTTAAGAATAAAAATAATGAGGTTCCGGCCTATTTCTGGCGCAGAAACGTCCTCGTGACGCGTGCTATCGCTCAGCCTCAAAGCCAGTAGCTCTCAATCGTCCTGCGTCTCGGTACTCTTTATTAATAGAACCATTTAGCGCGGGACCAGGGGCATTAACGACCCGTGTTTGTGAATCACGGAGCGTTTCGATGCTCGATCAATTTTCGATGATTTGTCAAACTTTAAAATATTGTGAACAGATTGTGAAATTAATTTTTTAACAGTTTGTATCGGGTTTATTATTAATTTTAATTTTAATTTTATTTTATTTTTTTAAATTTTAATAGGATAGGGACTCTTCTAGGGATTTTTAGAGATTTAAGTTGAACTGTAAATTCGTATATCGAAGTAGTTAATTTCTTTGAATTTTTATACTCTAGTTTCAGCTTGTTTTTTTTCTTTGAAACGAAGCGTCGAGATTTAGAATAACATCGAAGGATTTTTTTATTTCTTTTACGTAGATAGGTTTCCTATCTGGTAGTTAAGTTTCAAACAAAGCTCGTGTTTAACTTATCTAGATTTACGTTCCATCGAAATCACAGATCGGTTTACGACTCTTTTCTAAGTAAGTCGAGTTACTTTCGTGAAATATCTCGCCGACCGTCGATCACCTAACCTCAAAATCCAGTAACGTTCAGCTTCATTTTTTCGAGATGTACCGTGCGAAAAATGCTTAAAAGTTGGAGACCAATCATCCAACTCAACTTCTCCGAGATTTTTCAAAACGAAACTGATATCCCGATCCGTAGCTATCGTGGTGAGGTATATACCAATAAAATCCCAATAAACCGTCGTATCTACAACCTTCTCCAGATGGTCCAAAGAGAAACACATCCGGCCAATCGACCCCCGGCCCCCTTCGATCCCCTCCAACCGGAAGTTCAATTAAGAGGGAGGAAAAAGAAAGAGAGAGAAAAAAAGAAACATCGAATAAACGGAATAAAAAGGAAAAGAGGACAAAAGAGAGAGAGAGAGGAAGAGAAAAAGCGGAAGAGAAGTCGGTGAACCCCGGATATCGAGCGAGGTTGCCGCGTCGGCTCGGTTCGACGAGTCATTGACATTCGAATTTTCGGCCGGACCGCAATCTTTTCCCTTCTGGTCCTTTTTTTTTTTTTTCCCTCTCTCTTTTTCTATTCCTCTCCCCGGTGGCGGCCTTCGCCACCAACCAAACCCCCTGCCAACCCCCTTTGGTGCACCGCTAACATCCGCCGGCTTTCTCTCGTCTCTCCACCGCAATTCGTATTCTCCCTCGCGACGCCGTTCGATCAATATTTTAATTTCGCGATGCTGCGGTATTTAGCGGGACCGAAAAGAACCGGACGGGCCGATGCTCGTGAAAGAAGCGTCGTCGTCCCACGTGGTGGCATCCACGATGTAGACGACGTGGATATCGATAGACCTGGTGGAAATTTAGGGAAGATCGTCGTCCACGATTTTCTTTCTTCTTTTTTTCAATTTTTTTTCTCGTTTCACGACTCGATGATGGCCAATAAAGGATGGTAGAAAGAGAGAGAGAGAGAGAGCAAGTTGATCGGCGAAGGATAGTAATACTCTTTCGTGAACTTCTAAATTGCTCGTCTTGATCGCTTTTGGCCGGTGTATCGCCTCTTTATCGCTAATGTACTTCCCCCTCCCTCTCGATAATTTCCATCGAGTCCTTTATCCCTTTGGAACAATCTTTTATGAAAATTTTCGTAAAATGGGCGAAGAGGAAGACTCGAAGGATCAAATTAACTCTTAGAAAGAAATAGAATGATCTCCCTCGATATTATTTTTCCTTTGCAACTTATCCAAAAATAATAACTCCTTCAGATTTTTTGCACAATTCTGTCCACGAACTGTCGAGCTAATTCTTCGAGTGACGGAAACGAAGTTGTGCGCACTTTGTTGATCGGTCTGCTGCGAATTTCGTGCCGCGCTGGGGAGGGGGCAGGCGGGAAGGAGGGGGAAGGTACGGTGCGTGGAAGTTTTTAAAAAACGAAAGTGGCTCGGAGCCGTTGGCGCGCGCGCGGGTCGCGTTGAATTTTACATGAAGTACATTTAATCTGCGTCGCACGAAGCCCTGCAGGCACGGCCGAGCCCTCCTCTATTATATAGACGGGGGCTTTATGAAATTGTGACCGAGCGGAACATGCACCCCCTGTAATCGACGATTCTACTTGCTTGTCTGGTCGTTGATCTTTCAACGATTTTTTTGATAAACGATCTTTTTTTTATCGATCATCGATGAAGAAACTTTAAGTCGAACGTCGTTGAATCCGTTGTTGATTCGAATCGGAAATCTATCGGTCTCGGTTGTTGAATTGTTTTAAGTCTCGGTTTTTAAAGTTTTAAAGAGGAAAGATTTTAGAAAACTTTTTTTTCTTTTTCACGATAAATTTAAGTTAAGGAACTCGAGGAAAAATTTTCGATGCAAACTTTTAAATGAGAAGGGATACTTTCTTTCGTGTTCTGTATTCGGTTCTTTGATAAATATATTCGTTCGAAGTAAACTCTCCGATCGATGATTTCTTTTTTCGAAAAATCTTTTCATTTCTTCGATAAATCTAAACGTTTAAACGATGTATTTTCACTTTGTTCAGCATTCTTAAATTTTTCTGCAAATCTTTCAAAAATTTTTCCATCCTTCCAACGAATCTATTTAGATTAATTCTTTGATGAACTTCTCCTTTTGATCCCTTTCTCCAAAAATCTTTTCTTTCTCTTTAACATTCTCAAACTTCTTTTCCAAAACATTTTGATCTTTCCATCAAATCTACATTTATAAATTAATTCTTCGTTTGATCTTTCTTTTTCACTCCTCTACATTCAAACATTCTCAAATTTCTTGATCATCTCTTTCTCCAAGAAATATCTTTTCATATACCTTTAATAAATCTCAAACTAATTCTTCTTTTCACTTCTTTACAATAAAACATCTTCTTAAATTCTTCAACATCCTGAAATTTGTAAATGATCCTTTTAAAAAAAATTTTTCATTCCTTTTCACTCCTTCAAACACCCTTAAATTCTTCAACAACTCAATCTGTTTCTTCAAGAATCTTTTCTTCAATAAATCTAGATTCAAATTCTTCAAGAAACTTCTTCAATCAACAATTTGTTTCTCCAAGAATCTTTTTATATTCAATAAATCTCAAACTAATTCTTCTTTTCACTTCTTTACAATATTTAAACATCTTTTTAAATTCTCCAACATCCTCAAACTTTTCTCTCACCAAAAACCTTTCAAATAAATCTAACGTTCAAACAAATTCTTCAACATCCTTCACCCCCTTTTCACTCCTTCAAACACCCTTAAATTCTTCAACAGCTCAATCTGTTTCTCCAAAGAATCTTTTCATATGCCTTCAATAAATCTACATTCAAATTCCTTCAAGAAACTTCTTCAATCAACAATTTGTTTCTCCAAGAATCTTTTCATACGTCTTAAACAAATCTACATTCAAATTCTTCAATAAACTTCTCAATCAACAATCCATTTCTCTAACAAGCTTTTCATATATCTTCAATAAATCTACATTCAAACAAATTCCTCAATACTTCCTCAAAATTTCTTAATCAACCATATCCCTCTCTCTCCAATAATATTTGCCTTCCATAAATCTACATTCAAATTTTTCAATAAACCTCTCAATCAACAATCCATTTCTCCAAGGGATCTTTTCATACTCCCTCAACAAACCTACATTCAAATTCCTCAATAAACTTCTCAATCAACAATCCGTTTCTCCTCCAAAAAAACCTTCCTTTTCACCTCTCACATACAATATTCAAATATTATTCTCAAATACTTCAATTATCCTCAAAATCTTCCCCTTCTCCCCTTCTCTTTCCACCTCTCCAATCTCCAAAACCTATCAATTCAAACCAACATTCTTCAACATCCCCCTCTCTTCACAATGTATCCTCTCATATAAATCTTCATTAAATCTCTTCAACAAATTCTCAAACTTCTTCTCCCCTCTCTCCTTCAAACAAACCCCTCTCATC